TCTGGAATTCTGTGTGATTCTGTGCTCTGTGTTGGTAATAAGAAAGCATTAGCACGAATTGGCAACTGTGGCATCTGGCATCACAACCTGTGCAGCACAGAGCATTTTGGCTGAGTATCCACTTTTCTCTGCAAGCCAAGGGATTCTCAGGCACCAAGCAGAGAAAGAGCTCATAGCAGAAAAGGGGCTGACTCTCCACACAGGCAATTAAAATGCACAGCTCCGTCTCAAGGAGTGGCAGACACCAGAAGCTGCCACTGGTTCAGAAAGTGACTGGACAAAAGTGATACCCTCAGATTTCTTATCAAGGCAAGGATAGTTTCACATTGACAGGACTGATGCCTATCTTGGTGTGGATCTTTAAAAGAATGTGTAGGTGCACAGGTCATCTCCAGCTATGTGACTGTGTGGTATTACGTGCCTGCTCGTTAAATGTCAGCCAGAGAGGTTTTTATAAACAAGGCAATATTTGGTTCAATAAGCAGCTTGTCTCACCCCTGTTTGCTTAAGGATTCAGTTACAAGCAGGGAATATGCGAAAAGAAATGTTATCAGCTTCGAGATGTTACCGCTCCCACACCTACAAATGCCAGCAGGGTCACCAGAACCTGACACTGAGGGTTTGTGTTTTACAGCTCATGCAAGACCACGGATCCTCACCTGCCTGCGCTAACAGGCTGCTTCCGAGTTGCCAAGGAGGAGAGAAGAAAGCCAAGGGTTTTGGAGCTCCGCCCACCATCAAACACACTGAATCCTCAGTCACCTCAGAACTAAAACCCTGATTTATACCCTGTTGTAGTAATTCCAGAGTAAACCCTGCTCCGGCCACACGACACTCCCAGAGCTCTTCTCTGCACGTTGCTAAAGGAAGTGTCATGGAGACTAACACAAAGGCAATGGAGATAATTAGATCAGGATTAAAAGACCAAATAGGATCAACTATTAGTTTATAGGTGGAATTAAAACCCAACCACAACAATACACCTTGCCAGCGGTTTATACACAGGAGATTTTGCTTGCTTCCTACCTCCCTCTCTCTGTAATATTTGTGTTGCACTAAGTCAAAAACCACCCACAACTAACCCTCAAACCTCATCATGAATTATAAGCCCAACCAAGCTTAAAGAAAAGGTAATTACTCTGACATCTGATTTTCCCCTCTCAACAAGGTCTCTGTTCATGCTGGCTGCACTGGAGAGCAGGAGTGTTGTTTAGTAGTGCCCTAACCCTACCCATTTAGCTACCCCCATCAGGGCAGGGTCTCGAGGCAGTGTTGGACACACTCCTGACACAGCAGCAGCCAGGAGCAAGAAGCACAACCAGTTTGAAGGTTGCTTACATTACTGGAAGAGCAGTTTTCAACAGGAGGAGGCTTAGAGCTAACACACGCTCCCAGAAACCCAGCCCAGTCTTGAAAGGCTGCTCAGGAAGACCCAGGCTATGGCGACACTGACCCCTCAGTTCTGGCTGTACCATGGTGCTCACAGCATTACAAGTGTTTGGCACCCAGCACTCCAGGAGCAGCGCTGCTGGTGTCAGCTGCTGTGCTCTGTTCTCACAGCTCCCACATCCTTTGGGTCAGCGAGTCCTCCCAAAGCACACACTCACCTTCCAGAGGGCCAGGCAAGAAAGGGTGAGGTGCTGTGGGCACCCAGCAATGCTCCTGCCCCTTCTGGCTCTGTTGCAAGTATCATCAGCACTTCAACATCTGAAACACAGCAAAATATAGCTATAATTGACAGGCACTCCTTATTCTCAAGCACAAAGCAGCTCTGCCTCTGTATTTTACAGCTTCAAGTGTGAGTCAGCCACAGGCTAAGAAACTTCACACGTTCTCAGCAGCTTCTCCTTACAGCAAGGCTGACACCTTGCGATAAAACAGAGCAGTCTAACCTGCTCTCTTTTATATATAAATATATAAATACTCGTGTCTGTGCACCTAGTCACCTAGAGCGGTTGATAGGTTACACACAGCTCTAAGAAAGAAGTGGGGAACAGACAGAACCCATGTTATGAAAGTCAGGATATCCAGCTCATGAACTGAAAGCCTACCTTAACTTCTAGTGTGATTTAAACAAGTCTCTCACTCTCCCTAAACGCTCATCAGTTGAAGGCTGCCGGCCCTAAACACTCTTCTTAAGTACTTGGGGTTACACCTTGAAGTAGGATATTCACAACAGACATCAGTGGGCGAATGAAAGACGACTTGGGAGTTACCATCAAGTTTTCCCTAGTACTGACACCCTTAAGTCTGCTTAGAGCGCACACCACACGCTCCCCAGTGCTTTACACAACCGAATCGTAACTTCACAGATGACCTCCACTCCTTCCCTCAGGAGTTCACTCCACCAGTAACACACTTCCAAATGGCCTTGTAGGAAAGCTATCAGGAGGAGGAATGGTTATTCCAGACCCTTGAACAGATCCTTGTCTCCATGGGCAATCTCTGTGGATTCAGAACGGATTAGGTGCCTTAATATTTATTTCAGCACATTTTGTAACCAGAACAACAACATATATGAAAAACCACAGTTTCAGATTTGCTACTAAACACTGTTTTGTAGGATTATGTCCCATCCCTAAGTAAGGTACTCTGGCACAGACAAAGCCACACAACAACCAACAAGGGCACTTACTTTCATCAGAGCTCATTGTTTCTTAATGATAATCTAGAGATGCAGTTGCAGGATGTTAAAGTCACACGGAAATCTGCACACTCCAGTGCATTTGGTAAGGCTTGTTGTCTGGAGCCCAATCTTCACACCTGAACTGGAGCTGTTGCAGCTGCAAGGACAAAACCCAACAGTGCTTTACTGCACTTAGCGCTTTCCCTCTAAGTCCCTCAGGGTACTTCTATAAACAGGGCAGATGGTTTCTTATTAAACAAAACTCCCACTAATACGTATTAAGTTGCATTCTGTAAAAGCCCAAACTTGCAAGGCTTTCCTTGGAACATAAGGAAATCTCCAAGCAGGGGCTGAAAAGATGCCAAGTTCTCAACCAGACAGCACTTCGGCCTTACCAGCAACCTTGAAAAGGCGTTATATCACTTCCTCCACTGTGTAAATAAGTGTTTCCTTCAAAGAATGAATCACTTACACTGAGCTTTGACCCTCCAACACACAAAACATCATGCATTTGTATGAACACAGCAAGCTGTTCAGAGGGGATTCACAGCTTCAAATCCCAACGCCACACAGGCGGGAACCTCACAAGCTGCCAGCCCGGTGGGAGAGCACCCCCAGGAAGGGTGACGGGCATAGCCACCCCCACAAGCTCGAGGGTTTTGAGGACTTACTCTCCACCAGAACAGGAAGCCCAGAGCAGGCCTGACACTGTTCATACAGCCAAGGGCCACGACACCTCCCTCTCTGTAGTGCTTACATCTTACCTCAGCCTAACACAACTTCCACGGTAGTCTATAAATCAACAAATGCCTCGCTGGCAGCCTGTATGCAGAATATTCTGCCTTTTCAGCAGCTTAACCCCCCTAACGCTGCCGCCTCTCCCGCCATCGCAGCCTCACACCTCAGCACATGCGCACTCACCGCCCCCGCCTTCCTTTCCGGCAGTGTGGCTTCTCCCCTTTTACGACAGTGTGGCAGTCCCCGCCCACTCCCGCCGAACGCTGCCGCCTCTCCCGCCATCGCAGCCTCACACCTCAGCACATGCGCACTCACCGCCCCCGCCTTCCTTTCCGGCAGTGTGGCTTCTCCCCTTTTACGACAGTGTGGCAGTCCCCGCCCACTCCCGCCG